AAATCCTGATCCATCCCATCCTATTCATTTAATTGTGAGTTATGATAAGGTACACTAGTCTATTCTCCCCCGTAGTGTCAAACTTGACAGTTACCCTCCTTAACCTCAGCCACTCTTATAGAGTTTTGCACTCACCCTCAACTGTCACTATGAGACTTTGCTCCTTCCTCGATAAGGACTTTCGCTTCACTCTCAGCTGTTCCTGTAGGGTTTTGGCTCCATCTCCTCAAAGGTACTTTGAATGCTTGAATACGGAAATTCAAGTTTCAAGTTGTACATATATAGTAGTCCTGGGAAAGAACGAAATTAATCAGATTCCTGGGAATTCCCTATAAACTCTCTCTTAAGTCCTCGGGAACTTTACAGGAAAGAATGGACTAAGGTATCTAAGAAATATTTATTGTGAAATCTAAAGGGTATTGCTCCATAGGGATGTATATCTGGTGTTGAACAACTTGATGTTCATGGAACAAATGTTATTTACAATAAATCAAAAAGTGATGGAAACGAAGAAACACCTCTTGAATCAAATCATACACATTTTATTTTTATTGATGATGGAACTAAACATCAATATGGAGGAGAAAATGAATTTCGTGCTCAATTTGAAAGAGCGATTTCTGAAGAATCATTTTCATTAGAAAGTACAATAAATAATAATCAAATGAAAGATAAATCAAGACAATCAGGTTAACATACTTCATAGAAGATGAAATTTATTTCTTTTTTGTATTTGATTTAGATAGTATACCTGTTGTTCTTGTTGTTATTGATGGTGGACTTGAGACAATTAAGAAAGGTTTTTTATATATTCAATTATATATTAATCATAATGTTTGTTTTAGTTCATGAAAGTGTTATTGAAAATAAAATTCCAGTTGTTCTTCTGGCAGACACTGGTGGTTGTTGTGATTTATTTGCTAAATGCTATCAATTATACAATGAATATCATCTAACATTGAAATTACCTGATTAAACAAAGTTAGTTTAACTATTTATAAAAACATATTGACCTTTACTTCTTAGTTCACGTGAAGATTCATCATCATTAAAGGAAAAAATTGAACAGATAAAAAATAAACTTCGTGAAAAATTACAGATTATTGATAATAAATTAAATATAGACTCGTGCATCAATTTATTGGATGAAAATACTAAAATAGATTATTTTGAATTAATTTACGAATGTATTGATAAACGAAGTATATTTTTAAATTTCGTCGACTTAAAAGTACATAATTATGTTGAAACAGATATTGATTTAGCTATTTTACAAGCACTTCTAAATGGTAAGAAAAAAATATTATCATTGAAACAATTCTTTTTTCTTTTTCTAGTAACATTTGAAAATGATTTATCTGAGATGAATATTGAA